CTCGTGTTGTGTTGGCAGACCGGTAAAAAGTGTTTTCTCCTCCTTTTCATAAAATCCAAGTTGAATTCGGCCCTTTATAACCACTACATTTTTTTCAATAAATGCTTTGGGGTGCCCTTTACTAAGGCAAATCCGTATCAGTTTGTCTAACTCCTCCAAGAACTCTTTGTCTGTTAGTCGTAAGCTTCTGATGATCAAACTCTTCGGTATTCCGATCTTCAGTCTGCAGTTATGATGGGACTGAAAATTAAGGATTATTCCCACATATGAATTCTTTCTGTAAAGTCTCTTATTGAGTGTCCCCTTGGAGCGTATGACTTCAATATCCAGAAAGTGTAGCCGTTCATCCTACTCCACCTCTATTGCGAATTTAATTCTTTCCTTAATTTGGTTAATGAAATTGAGGAATTCACTTAAATTTCCTCACCATGTGACCAAAATGCAAAGTAGTCATCCAAGTATCGCATGAGCACTCTTGGTTGCAGTGGTGATTTCACGAATTACTTTTCCAACTCGTCCATGTATACATTTGCCAAAATAGGTGAGTGGGGATCCCATAGGTAGTCCAAATATTTGCTCATAGATAATGCCGTTAAATGTGAACTGTTGTCATAACTGTCAGGTTGATTAGTCGTGTTAACAAATCCTTCCATATCCGTTCTGTCTCCAAGATGTCCTCTTCTCGCTCCAATATCTCTATCAAGGCGCTTATCGCCTTCTCACCTGAGATGTTTGTGTACATGTATTGTACATGGAAACTCGCCAGCAGCTCCGACCCCACTAACCCAATGTTCTGGATCCTTCGAGAAGATTCATAAGAATTCTTGACGGTATTCAAAAGTCTTTCATTTACTTTCTTGAGCTTCAAGCAAATGAATTTCGCTTCTTTATGTATTGCTCCATGCTTGTTGTTGACTCTTAGTCTTTGCGGATTTCCTTCTTTGAGTGTCTTCGGTAGTCCGTAGGCTGTCGGTGGTCTTCCGTCATTTTTTATTAAAGATTTCGTCATCCATCTGTCAATTTCCCGATTAGTATGCATTTCCTTGAGCATATTCTTCAGTGTCCCGTTGATATTCGTGGTTGGATCCTTTCTTAATATTTAATAAGTGTTCCGGTCGCCAAGGCTACTTTCCATTTTCTCCGAGTATTGTTTCTTGTCTATTACAACCGTCGCCCTCCCCTTATCCGTCTGAAAAACTATTTGATCATTCTTTTGTATATTTTTTTCGAATAACAGCCAATCTGCTCTTGTGTATCGTTTCTTGATGTGTCAGGATCCGTGGGATTATTTCCAGTTCCATCTCACGCCTTGTATATTCTGGTAATTTATTCGTTATGTTGTGGATTCAGAATCGAGAGGAATTGAAAATAGGTTTACTACCTTAGTCCTATCGTCGAATGTTACAGTTATGATATCCCCCTTTCTGCCCTGGC